CTGCTCAATCTTCCTCAAAACCATCTTCTGATGAATCATATTCAGAGACTGAACAAATGCAAAGCAGTAGGGCAGAAGCCGCAATGTCATCCACTGAATTTAAGAGCTCTGGTCATACCACTGTAACAACCAAAGACGAATCTAGACTAGAGATTTTGGATCCATCAGGTGCCGAAATCGATTACGATTCCTTTGACGAGAAAACCCCAGAACCAAATGAGCTTTCGAGCGCCGATCGAGATATGACAACACCTACAGGGACGATTGTCTCAATGCAGGAGGACACGAAGAGCAGTGTGGCAATTCCTGTAGGGGAAGAATCTTTAGAGACTGATAAGCACAATGAGCATCCGACTATTGAATCTACTCAAGCGAAAACCAAAGTGTCCAGTGATGATGACATGACTAGCGGACACAGTAAAGAAATAAAAGTTCACGTCGAAATTACAACGAAATCCTCTTCTTCAAGGTCTGACCCACCAGTCAGTAGCGATGAATTCGTGGCTACAGGTGAAAGCGAAACTTCCAAGTATCCAATCGCCGCGGCCGCTCAGGCTCCCAGTAATGAAGTCCAACCTTCAGAGGAAGGTCTCGAAGGTACCATGGCGTGGAAGCATACGAAAGCGACAGAAATTTCGCGAGAAACCGTGGCAGCGCCAGAATTATCCCTAGAGATCGGCAGTGAATCTACCAAGACCAAAAGTTTAAGGTCATCTGCGAAAAGTGAGAGTAAATCGGCCACGCATGCAGATGTATCCTCCGAGAATGAAATCAAGCCTTCTGAAACCGTGATTGGTATTCAGACAAATGCCACTTCTGCTCACAGTGAAACCGAGATTCCCGCGCAAACACCTACTGCCCTCATGGGCTGATGAATCGTCAAGCTCATCGGCGCCAAGAACACTGGGGTGTATGACGAGCTTGGAATAAAGCCTCCTGGCCTCCATCGTCGAAGTAGGACAAAATTGGATCTAGCGCTCGTTAGGTGCCGGAGCAACTCGCGCCGTGCGATGAATTATAAAGTATGTTGATCCTACATAGCACATCAGAGTGTACCGAAACAGCGTCTATCATTAAAGTAAGTATCATACACTACTTTGAAAAGCCTCTTGACTTCCAGTCGACGCCAATGCCGACTGTTTCTTGGACAATTTGCGTCTTGCTTCGCTGGTTAGTTCTTTGAATTCATGGTGAAATAATGAAATCCATGACTTCCTGTCAAACTTATCGTTCTTAAAGTCTGATAGGAGTTTTTGATATGATTTACCGCCATTTGCCCGTTTCATGATGGATGATATACTATTAGCAGAACCGAAGGCATTACTGCTATTACGAGAAGCCTCCCAACTTAACAATTGTCTTTTCAGCTCGGTCTCATCAACGGGCTCGATGGCATCACAGAAGTTGCTATTCCATAGCATCTCGTAGTGATCGTAACGAGCAATCATATTCTGTCTTGTCCCATTTACCGGTAAGCCTAACGAAGCCAGCTTCTGTCTTATCTGAGACAAGCTCATAGAAGTGAAGTTAACCTTCGGTAGTCTCTGTCGGTCGGCCTTGGCGGCGGAATTCAAGTACTTGTCAACATGCAGATTGGACTGGTTTTCTTCATGACGATTGGAGGACTCTGAATTAAGAGCAGTAGCCTTCTGTGGTACTCGTAAAGGAGAAGCTTGGCGGGCATGTGCGTTCTCCTTTTCTACCGGCTTTGGATGACCATCCAGCGATTGTATCGTTAAACATTCATCTAAATGAGTCCTTTCTAGCGCCTCTATGGGATAAAATTGCTCGCAAATGGGACATTGGGCCATTTTCTGCTTGGCTTTACCTGCCTGGTTCTTGAGAAATGATTGTGCTCTTGCTGAAGGTTTCGATACCCTTAAGGATGATGAACTTGTATTGAACAATGGTTTTCCCCTGGTTTCAACGATCTTAATATCGTCATCTTCGTCACTATGTGATCCCAGTTCGATTAAATGGCTCTCTGTTGGCGATTTGGTCACCAATGCATTCAGTAGTTTCGATCTTGAAGATTTGTAGACTTCAATAACTTCATTCATCAAGAACTCGCTTCGCAGACTCGATTCTCTCAGTTCATTAAGGCATAATGGGCATTTGGAGTCCTGACGTAGATACTGGCGTATGCAAAGTGAACAAAATGTATGACCACACGGTGTTAAAACGGGTACTCGTAGGAATTCCTTGCAAATATGGCATCTGAGTAGCTTATCCAGTTGACTTAACTGTGGAACTGTTGATTGAGTAAAATCGCTTGCATCGGTAAGACGCTGATTCATGGTGATTAGAGAGCTTTCTTTCGAATATACTGGTAACCTCTGGCTTGCAATTCAAACTTTAGATCTTCCCTTGGGCTTCAAATAACCTCCTACTCTTCTAAAGACTGGTATATAAGACTAATAGCAACTAACTTGTAAGCTCAAGCGCGACACGCTTACTACGAGTTACGGTTAACACCAAGCATAGAAGTCCAATTGACCGATCTGCCAGCGTTCGCAATGGAATGCAGCTAGATCAGGGTCACAGTTTAAACTGCCAGGTTTCCTTGCCTCGTTTGTCTCATTGATACAATTATTCTTGATAAATCTACTTAACCCATTTTATGCTTTAACTCCTATTCCTGTTCTCCTTATCGTTATCCTGCAGTTCAGTATTCTCCTGAGAAGCCGTTACGTTGAGCTGTAATGGCTCATCAAGCGGTACGTTGTGGTCTGCAGTCGAAACTGGCTGATTCTGTGTAGCTCTTTTCCACAGTGAATAAAGATCTACTCCGAAAAGGCCCCCGGTTGACAGTTTCGTTCTATTGATACCTGTAGCACCGTCATATCCTGGCATCCGCTTGGAAGAAGACATTTCAGTTGTATTTGCGCCTGTAGGTAGATTTGACGTTGTGGCCGCGAAGCATTTGAGAATTGGCGAGCAGTACAGATCTTCGAATAGATGTGATGGAGTTTGCCATTTTTTCAGCGATGTGTTACCGTCCTTTGGTGTTGTTATGAATCTGCAGGGAGTTCTCAGAAGGCCTTGTTGTGATGTGGTAGGAGTTCGAAGGATATCCATTTGTTGATTTTGAATGGTTGGTTGAGTATCTCGGGAGCCCTCTAGTACGGTTGCTGGAGCGTCTAGTCGTTCGGTGGAAACCGGATCTAACAAAGTGTCACTGGAGTAATTTTCCGCCAACGGTGACGCTTCTTCGAAGCTGGAATTGAATGAGCAGGTGTACCTGTTGAAGCTATGCGACGAAGTGAATGTATTCTGGCCGGAAGTTGTCGGAATGGGGTCGAATATGCTTGCTGAGTCGTCGGAGAACACCCTCGGAAGCCCCAGGGTTGTGTGAAACTTTTTCAGCGAGTAAGGCGGGCTCAAAGTATTGTAGTTATTCTTTTGTCCCTCGGGCAACGGCGGCGAATCCGGTTCGGCAAAGTCAATTACTGTGAACTTATGAGAGGGCATTACCACGGGCGAAGAGTTCATCTGTAACAAAGTATTCCTACAGTCGCTTTCACAATCCGATTGATCGTCATCTCTGAAAAGTCGATTCGTCACGTCAACAGGGTGCCCATCGCTTGGGCTAAGTTGGAAAAATTGATCAATATCCCGTACCTTTTCCCTCACTTCTTCATACGACGAGGTCTCACCTCTGAAGAACTTCATCTCTTCCCCCCATTTCACTTCCCAGAAGTGTCCCTTCCCGTCGCACGACTTCTCAGTCTTCACAAAGGCCTCGTTCAGCGACAAATTGTGTCTGATAGAGTTCTGCCAACCTGAATCCTTCAACTTATAGTACGGGAAATGGCTGGAAATCCAGCTGTAGATCTGCGAAAGCGTAAGTTTGCCCTCGGGAGACTGCAAAATCGCCAGCCCAATCAAAGTCGCGTACGAATAAGGCGGTTTCTTACCCATTTCCCCATTATCTCTTCTTCTCTTCAACGACTGTAACAACTCTTCCAAATTCATGATCCCACTAGAACGTGTTCCGTCTGTCTTATGTCTCTTAACCCTCGTACACGCAATAGGCGACGACAGATCCGGCGAAAGCGGCGCTTTCGCACTCCCATTTTTCCTCACAGTAGAACTCGGTGGTGTCACAACACTCTCATTGCTTCTCTTTCTCCCGTATCCAACCTCATCAACACCCACCACAGTCTGCACGCCATAATTCGTCTCTTCAGCCATCCCGTTCGACACAACCGTCTACCAGCCTAAATACCACCACTTCTAGACGATGCCAAGCTGATATATATCGTCAATCAACGTACCAATGCTGCCCTGACGGTTTTAGTACTCTTCATCTAGAGGTGAGACGCGAAACTTTTGGCGTCGCGACGCGTCTCGATGCCTCACGCCTTAGAGAGCATCCGGCTTCTGGCGACTCAGCTGGCTCAATTGCATGGCTAGTCGCTGCTGGCGCAACCCCGACAACCGCAATGCACACATTGCTTAAAACTGACGGTCCTGCCCGTCTCGCGGGCGTTATTCTCGAGCTGCGCTCTTGGTACTCGACAGATACAGGTAGTACCGTCCGCGGATTCGGTAGTCTGGATGCATCGTAAACAGCATAGTTTCTCGTAACCCTGTTTCTTCCATTTGGCGATCAGTAGCCGGTCTGCGTACTTCTCCTGCAATAGCCACTGGTACAGCTCGCGGGAGATCGCCTTCCGGCGGTAAAAAAGACTGTACACGTACCGAGACCTCTCGTGATGGATTCGCATCACTTCCCAGAGCGGTTCGCTAGCTCTAGATCTCATCTTTGAGCTGCCGGACTGTTCCGCCGCTCTGAGTTGCAAATCGAACTCTCGAAGCGTGGGTTCGACTTTGTCGAACCCTTCTGGCGCAGGTCGGCTTCCCTTGGTCCTGATACGCACCATAAGACGTCCAACAAGAGTCTAATGGCTTCATTCTTGAACTATAACCTCTAGATCATCACCATTTTTCACCATTATATATACGTAATTACCAGTATAATCAAAAAAAATTAAATTCGACACCAGCAGGATTTGAACCAGCGCGGGCAGAGCCCAAGAGATTACCGAATTTAGACTATTCGAGTCTCTCGCCTTAACCACTCGGCCATAGTGCCAATTAATTATTGGGATTGTAAAGTAAAAGAGATGGTGATATTGGGAGGAAGAGGGAGACCTAAGCTTTGTATTATATTTAGTATTTAGGCTGTATAGCAGCTTTGAAAGAAATCGTACTCTAGTTGTAATGTCTTTTGAAACATATCTTCTACTTCTTCGATCTTGAGCTTGTCTGTCTCGTTCTTTAAGAACTCGAGCCACGTCTCGAATAATTTGCCGTCGTGTAGGTCGATCCATCTCTGGTGTTTCCAATGCAGGTCGGGTTTTCTTGGCAGATCGTGAGCCCATTTCCAGTAGACGAGCTCTGCGATCCACATCGCGGTGATCAATTGCGGGTACCCGTAGAGGTCGCGTCTGGTCCTCTTTTCCTGGAGCAGATCCATGTAGACCTTGACCTGTGGTAAGTAGTGGTTCAGGTAGAATTGACGTTCCTGCTCTGAGACAGCGGGTTCGACTAGTTTCAAACAATCGTGGAAGTAGGTGTTTTCGTCGTTAGCGAAGAATCCGATCTGTTTGGCCAGTGTGATCAGACTTTCAGTATCCGGGGCCATCGACGCCGTATTGCACATGCCTCTCATGCCCGATTGGAAGAATTGCAAGTCCTGGGCCAAGTATATGTACAGGGTTCTGTCAGGAAGAGTTCCCTGACACAGTTCCACCGTTAAAGGGTGTTCTGTGGTCTTCCTGAACAGTTCCTGGTACTTGCTGATCAATGCATCCGTTGTAGAGACCATTATGCGCTGGTTTAACCACCAGAGCCAATCTAACACACAGCTGGTGAGCACCTTTTATAGTCAATTTAAAGCATAGTTCGTTTAGTTTAGCAGGAACGGAGAGGAAACTGACAGAGCATCAAATAGTACTACTGATCTCTCAATGAGCATATCTGACTATGTTTTGAAAGTTATCAATAGTTGTCAATGTTAACTTAACTGTACAAAGCATTAAAATGGTCTTAACATAAAGATAAAATAAAGAACTTGCCAGCATTGGAGCTATAAAGGATTCTAATTAGTGGTAAGAATGCAAGCTATGGTTCAAAGACAAGTTCAGCGAAAGAGTAGGCAGGTCTATCATAGCGGTACCTTCCCCGAGAACAAGCGATCAATTGATTTGATGTTGACGTTTTTGTAGCCAGTTTTTCCACAGGAACAGGGACATTTCCCATGCCATCACCAGCGTAATGAAACCGACACTGATGTTGAAACTGAACATTGGCGTGAATCCACGGTATTCCATGGCTTCAATAACTTGATCAGTGGATTCCATGAAAATTAAGCCGCCGCAAAGCAGGCAAAACGAAGTAATGAGTTCAGTGAAGGGTTTTGAAGGTTCGTAATTCTTGTTTGGGACTAAGAACAATAGCACAAATGTGAGCAGTCTGAAGAAAGAGCCATACGAGAGAAGGTACCCCCATTGGACATGAATTGTGGTAGAAGTTTCCGAAGCCTGGGCATGCTGTGACATTAGGATACCTGTCCAGAATATAGTAAACGTTGGGAAAGGGTTTGGCGAGTAACCGGGAGAACCGGCATACACATCTTCCTCTGCGATATCTTCTGAATGTTGTAGGGCATGGTTAAATTTCCAGTCGTTGAGTTTTATCTCGGAAAGCAAGCCGCACAGTCCAGAGCCAATATACATGAAGGCGATCGAAACATGCTGTAGATCCTTAGCCGTCCAAGGGCCGCCGGCACCGGCTAAATGCTCCAGAAAGATGTTTGTAGAACCGTAGAAGAAGATCAAGAATGACTCGATGCCCTCCATTGTAATCATACCTCTGGGAGTAAGCATCCTGCGAATCCAAGTAGGGTTCTCTTGTGCGAACTGTTTCTTGGTAATGATCACTTTATTCCACGCCCAACCATTCTTTCTTCCAAATCCGCAATATCTTGCCAGCGACACCAGCCCGAGACAGATAAACACACCGCCCTTGATCCAATGAGCCAGTAAATTGAAGATACGAACGCCCTTACCGAGTAAATTACCAACGGCTATCCCCATCGTAACATCGACGAAATAGTACAACAACAAAGGATAATTGAGCACATTAAACACAAGTGACGCGAAATTTCCAAATTTCCTTGCGAAGCACTGTATCAACCCATTAGAGAACACTTTATTCAACAATGAATCGCGCTTCACAGAACTCATCGACTTGAAAGTACCGGAAAAAGACCGATTCTCCAGGTCAAACGAATCCTTCTGACCAACATCAGCCCTCTGCGCCGACTCGGTATGGTCGTTCTCCAACTGGGACTCCTCATTGTTGGTCTGAGGCGTAGAAGAACCCTCCTCATTGTAATACTCGAGCGGAATGAAAAAATTGTGCTCAATCTCAGCATCGCTCCCAATAAACCACCTAGACGCCTGACATATCAGCGCCGTAACAAAATGGACCACCACCAACACTAACAAAATCCACGAAGTAGCTCTATAGGCATTCTTCGGATACCATTCGTACGGGAAACTTGCAGAAAACACACTCAGCGCCAACAACGACGATAAACTCAACACAGCATTCACAAACAACACGGGTAAAAACCACGAAGATCCAATACTATTGAGCGCCAAGCAAACCGGATACACAAACACAGCGCTCACCAATAAACTCCCAGCATGATATTTCAATGCTGCCCTATTCCCAAGCTCCGTGTTGAAAAAAGTCGTAGTATTATACTCAGTCCAATAAAGCTTCTCTGCCGCAGTAAGACCAGGTCGCTGTAAAATAGGTAAACCATGTAAATGTTTAGGTTCATGTGGAACCGGTACCACCGTCTCATTGCTCTTCATCATCGATGTCATCTCATCATCGCCACCGCTCATATCCATTTCCATATCACCATGCGCCCAACACACGCTAATAAGCGCCACAAGCACCACGGGAACCTTCAATCTCATCCTAAAAGTCCAATTCCACTCTTATTATCCGGTCTTTGACTTGTCTCTTGTTTAAAGAGTGAGTTGTTTTTTCTCTTCAGGGATAGCTCTTGATACTCGCTTAGAAGAGACCTTTGACTATAACAAGTTCTCTGTCTAAACAGCATATATAAGGCCTGGTGGTGGTTGAGAGATCTGCGGTTCCAGGTGTGGTAGCGCTGAGCGCTAGCGAGCGCTCCTTTTGAGAGCGGACCGCCAGTGGGCGGTCCGCAGGTTCGAGCGGGTGCTGGAGCCGAGCTTGGCTCCAGCAGAACAGCAGGCCCAGCAGGCCAGCAGGCTCCTGAAGACAGCCGCCGATGAGGAACCAACGTTGTCGTGACGACGGCTGGCGGTCGTCGCCGGTGACAAGTATACCGGATTTAGCCGCCGAGCTCGAGAGCCATCGAGGTGGCATTAGAGGGCTGCCAGCTCAGCTGGCAGCTCGTCGAGCTGCCGGATGGCTATTTCACGCCACTGCTGCTGCGGGAGCAGCTGCTGGGCGAGTTGCAGCCGGTAGAGCAGCTTCTGGCGGATCTTTTGCAACTCGGGAGTCGCTGGGAGCGGCTTGAGCCGCTCCAGGCCCTCCTGACATGCAGTCTGAGCATCGGGACCGCGTCCCAGCTTTATCAGACACATGGCACGGTTACTGTGGGCCACGGGACTGGCAGGATCGATGCTAACGCATTTGTCGTACCACACCAGCGCTTCCAAATAGTTCTGGTTGCGGAAACAGGTGTTCCCGCGGTCCTTGCAAGCGTCAAAGGTCGTGGACATCGCTGTGATAAGCGTGGCTTGTGGTTGAGAGTACTGTTGGTCTGTTATAGCAGTGAAAAAACTTTTCAACTGGATAAACTACTCGATGAGCTGTGAGAAAGAGCCATTGTAGAGCTATGAACGCTAATCATGAGGAATTGTTGCAAGAATTGGAGTCTATTGATGCTATATATCCCGGTTATATGACCGTTCACACGGCGGATTCGACAATTGTGTCTATTAAAGTGCCACAACATGAGTATGTGACGGTTCAAATATCATTCCCAGCGAATTATCCTTCGGGAAATAGCCCCAGGGTGATGGAATTACGATTTGACGATAATTCGCGACTGGTTTCACAGGACGCGAAGTTTCTGCTGAATCTTTTCCAGGAAGTGATGGATTCTGCTTTCTACCAGAATGGACGTAATGCCGTGTGTGTGTTTGATTTTCTCACAGAGCTAGATGGAGTGCTGTACATGGAGCCTGAGCAGAATCCGGGCGCTGTGGAGAAAATAGTGTTACCAACGGACCCATTTGAACACTGGTATGCGTCGCGGCCGATCACGGACCGCGGTTCCACGTTCATGGGGTTCGCCACTAGAGTTAGTTCCGAGACCGAGGCGTTCCAGCGATTGGAGACGTTGAAGACGGACTCTAAGATCAGGAAGGGCAACCACGCGATGTGTGCCTGGCGAATAAAGCAACGCTCGCACGACGACAAACGCGAGATCATCTTCCAGGACTCAGACGACGACGGCGAGACGGCAGCCGGGTCCCGAATGCTGCATTTAATCACCATCATGGACGTTTGGAATGTCATGGTCGTCGTGGTCCGCTGGTTCAACGGCACACACCTCGGACCCGACAGATTCAAACATATCAATTCTGCCGCTAGAGAGGCCGTGCTTAACGCGGGGTTTTGACCTGTTTAAGGATCTTGTCGAGGTCATAATCATCGTTATCCGCGTCTTCCCTAGACCTTTTGGTTGCCTCACTATCTTTTATCTCGCCCACTGTTCTCCTGCCTCTCACAATCGGATTGGTTTCCCGCTTCACATCCGTGATACTCACGTCGCTTCGCACATTCATGCGTCTTTTGGGCAGTATAGTCTTCTTCCGAAGCTTTTGCGTCCTCGGTAGGTTCTTCAATTCCCACTGTGAATTATCTGGTACACTCGATTGCTTGGCATCTTCTTCTGTCCTTTTATCGTCGCCAATCGGCCTCTCCGGCTGCGAAAACTTCATGAACTTCATGTTCATCACTCTACTGGAGAGCTTAGCGTTCGGTTGGCTCATCCTAACGCTGCCAATGGCTCCTGTGCTG